GCCGCTGCCGTTGGCGTTATCGTTGTTGTTGTTGTTTTTTTGTTGTGTTGGCTGGCATTGCATTGCAGTACGCGCGTTGTTGATTTTTGTTTTTGTTTTGTGTAACCAGAACAGCAGTTGCCCCGTTATTGCCATCATCCATCTAATATTCAAGTGTAAGGTGAGTGAGAGAGGATAAAGAGCGCCGGCTACGAGAGGGGAAAAAAGACAATATTGATAGAGGTACCTACCGTTAAAAAAATAGGTAGGAGTAGTTTGCAATCGGTGGCTCTTTTTTCAACATTACTCCCTCACCCACTTTTATGTTGATATGCCTTGTCTGTCCACCAGTATTTAAGCATGGACTTTGATGGTCATTTAAAAAGCCGAAATGAATTGATTGATGGTCCTGTGACCTAGAATATTGCTAACATTTACAGTTATTTGTGTTCTAATTGAGCAAGTGCAGCTCATCTGCCTTAAACGGACTACCTCTAACAATTTTTTTTGATAGTTTTCTCTTTTGAATTAAACCTAAGGAGATGACATTGAAAATTGGAAACTAGCGAATTCCCGCGCAACGCACTTTGCCATTGGTTAAGTGGCTCATCAGGCACATTAGATGATATTTTCGTGGCTAGACGAAGATCAATTTTTGAAAGTTCCATTTATGCGCAAATCATTTGATCGATGCATACGCGAATTAAATTGAAACCTATTTTATACCCTCAGCCATAGAGCCTAGAGAGGGTATACATCATTTGATACGGCCAAAACGTGGCTCATCGAAATAAAGTTTTTAAACCCTGGGTCTCTTGGACCATGTCCGTTTTAGGACATTTGGAGTTGATCTAGCGATGTCCGTCTGTCTGGATAACTCTCGAATTGAGTATCCAATTTGATTCAAACTTTGTACATTGGAATATTATTGTCAAACGTAGATCGAGTTCGGAGATGTCAGCATTTTCAAAGAAAATAATTTACTGCACAGAGAGGGAGAAGGGATAATCCGATTTTGCTCCAAATTTGCAAATCCTAATATTTTCACCAATGCTATGTAAGGTGCGAAAATGGACAATATCGGTCCACTCCTTCTGGTACCTCCCCCACAAAGGCTCAAGATTTTGAATAATTATAAGTTTTATAAAATGTCATGTAAGTGACCTATTGTTTTCAAATTACACACATCACAATATGTTTATTAACCCAAAGTCTGGGGTGAAGATGGAATATACCAGTTCACTCCTTCTTATACCTCTCCCACAAAGGCTCAAAATTTTGAATATTCATGAAGCCCATAAAACGCGAAAACAACATCCGATTCCATTCAGATTTGGCACATATCAATATTTCCATCAACACAAGATCTCCAATAATGATGGTAGAGATCGGACCATTCCTTGTGGTACCTACCCCACAAGGGTCAAAGTATTGAATAACCCAAACGATTATAAAATTCAAAATAAGCATACGATTCCCTGTAATTTACACACATCACAATATTTTTATTAACCCAAGGTCTGGGGTGAATATGGAATATATCGGCCGACTCCTTCTGGGACCTCCCCCACAAAGGCTCAACATTTTGAGTATCCATGAAGCTCATAAAACGCGAAAATGACGTCCGATTCCACTCAGATTTGGTACATCTCAATATTTCCATCAACACAAGATCTGTTATAAGGATGGTACAGATCGGACCATTTCTTCTGGTACCTCACCCACAAAGGGTCAAAGTTTTGAATAACCAAAACGATTATAAAATTCGAAATCAGCATCCGTTTCTCTTCCAATTACACACTTCACAATATTTTTATTAACATAAGGTCTGATGTGAAATTGAACTATGTCGGTCCACTACTTCTGGTACCTCACCCACAGATGGTCACAATTTCCAATACTTGCAGGATGAGGTGAAGAAACTGCAACCAATTTCAGACTGCTGTGATTTCTAAGCCACTCGTCCGACAGCTGTTAAAATTATTCCAGTGACAGCTCATTTTATTGTTTACAAGGGGACAAACAAGCATTTTGGTGAGAATTTTCCAGAAAAAAAGTTATTCGTGATGGAATTCAGGAAGCGTGATAGTGTGATTTCTTTATATTTGGCTGGAAAACCACAAGTGGCTATGTGAATAAATCTTTTGTGTCTCGTACCATCGTTCGTTACCGTGATATTGGTAGCGTAGCCCGACGTCAAGAAAGTGGCCGAAAAAAAACAGCAACATCAGCAGAAATAGTTCGAAAAGTAAAGAAGCGACTTGATAGAAACCTGCGTCGCAGTGGCCGACATATCGCAATATTCCATTCGGCAAATATTGAAAAATGAGCTCAGGGTAAAGCCATTGAAATTCCAAAAAGTGCAACAACTTACACCGCAACAGAAAGAAAATAGACTCAAAAGAGCTAAAGAGTTACTTCGCTTGGCGTGGAAGTGGTGAACAGCCGAATTTGGTTGTCTCCGATGAGAAAACATTCGTTGTCCAGCAGTTGGTTAACAAACACACTGATGGTGTTTACTTCACAAAGAGGTCAGCTGAAAATGTGCACTTTCGGTTGGCCACCAGAACTCAAGCACCAGCCATGGTGATAGTGTGGGCCGCCATAACAGCCGATGATCGCTCTCCGCTTGTATTAATCGACCGTGGCCTCAGGATAAATGTCGAATATTGTTGCGAAAATATTCTGGAGGGTGTATTAAAGCCTTGGGCACGCAAAACACTTTGGCCGCAGACCTTATACATTCCAACTAGACTCAGCACGCATCACCCAATAATTGGTACGAAATGAGGTTCCTCGCTTTATTTCCAGCGCACAATGGCCACCAAATCTTCCGGATACCACCAATCCCTTGGACTATTGACTCTGGATTATTTTGGAAAGCAAGGTTGGCACTAAAAAATACCAAAGTGTCGATCACCTCAAGCAAGCGCTTCGCCGGAAATGGGTCAAAATACCGCAGAGCAATACTCGGCTAGCATGTGACGGTTTCATTGATCGTTTGAAGGGAACATTTCCTGCCAATTCGAACAAATCTAAACTTATTCTAAAATTTGATGCTATTTCCGATATTTTTTGCTTTTATTCAATGAAATTTAAAAAAAAAAATAGAAATTATGGTGTTTGACTTTGTTGCAGTTTTTTTTTATCCCACCCTGTATATCTGTCATATCTGATAACTCACGTACATTTTAACATTTTTATACCCTACAGCACAAGGTGGTCAGGATATTATGTCTTTGTGCATTTGTTTGTAACAGGCAAAAGGAAACGAGATAGACCCCATAGTTCCTTTTGATGATCTGCACAGAATCACATTCTGAGTCGATTCATGCATGTCCGTCCGTCCGTCTGTCCATGTATATTTGTAAACAAAGTACAGTTCGCATTTATTGCCCTACTCAGATGAAATTTTGCACATATCATTTGTTTGACCCAAGGACGAACCCTATTGAAATTGGAGAAAATCGAACAAAATTTAGATATAGCTCCCATATATATCTTCGTCCGATCTGGTTTTTATTGTGCACCAAACGTGTAATATCAGTCCGAATAGTATGGAATTTTGCACGTACGATCAGATTTGACCTGAAAATAAGTATGCCAAATTTGATCGAAATCGGTTAAGATATAGCTATAGCTCCCACATATATTGTTCATCCGATTTGTTATTTTTGTCCTCTACAGCCGTAATATGCACTCTGTAACAACAATATTTGGGGAAATATATAAAAATGCAGCTCAGAAATACCTTTGTTAAATTTTATAGAGATCGGTTCCGATTTGGATATAACAGCTCCCATATATAACTTCGTCCGATTTACCCTTTTTTTGCACCGCAAACGTCTTATATTTGTCCAAATGGGATGGAATTTGGCACGTACGATTAGATTTGACCTGAAAATAAGTATGCCAAGTTTGATGGAAATCGGTTCAGACATAGCTATAGCTCCCACATATATTGTTCATCCGATTTGTTATTTTTGTCCTCCGCAGCCGTAATATGCATTATGTAACAACAATATTTGGGGAAATATATCAAATGCAGCTCAGAAATACCTTTGTTAAATTTTATCGAGATCGGTTCGGATTTGAATATATCTCCCATATATAACTTCGTCCGATTTACCCTTTTTTGCACCGCAAACGTCTAATATTTGTCCAAATGGGAAGGAATTTGGCACGTACGATTAGATTTGACCTGAAAATAAGTATGCCAAATTTGATCGAAATCAGTTCAGATGTAGCTATAGCTCCCACACATATTGTTCATCCGGTTTGTTATTTTTGTCCTCCGCAGCCGTAATATGCACTCCGTAACAAAGATATTCAGGGAAATATATAAAATACAGCTCAGAAATACCTTTGCTAAATTTTATCGAGATCGGTTCAGATTTGGATATAGCTCCCATATATAACTTCGTCCGATTTACCTTTGATTGTGCACCTAACGTCTAATATTTGTCCAAATGGGATGGAATTTGACACTTACGACCGAATTGAGTCTAGAAGCTAGTATGTCAAATTTGGTGAAGATCGGTTCAGATATAGCTAAAGCTCCCATGTATAATGTTCATCCGATTTGTTATTTTTGTCCCCCGCAGCCGTAATATGCACTCTGTAACAACAATATTTGGGGAAATATATAAAAATGCAGCTCAGAAATATCTTTGCCAAATTTTATCGAGATCGGTTCCGATTTGGATATAATAGCTCCCATATATATCTTTATCCGATAAAGTGGCATGTCGTAATATTTATTTCATAGTTATTTAGGTCCGATACGAAATGATCAATATTGGTCCCCCTTCCTTCGGAGTCTACTTCATAGAGGGTCAACAATTCGAATAATCATAACAAAAGTAAAAATATATATTTAAAGTATCAAACATTGGCTGAGGGTATACATCTGTCGGCAAACCCGACGGATACGTTGCAACTTGTTTTTTGGCATTTGCCAATCTAAGAACTTACATTGCTTTACAAATATTTATGGACATTTTCATTTGTTTTTATTTCAGGTCCATTTTTGCGCTAAGTTTTGATGTGCCAACAAAATGAGTCCCTTCAACAAACACTTGCATAACATTCATGGTGAAATCAGTGTAAAGAAGAGTGATCGACAAATGTACACGGAAATATTCGATGAAATCGTCCAGACAATTGTAGAGAAAATGCATCAAGTTGATGGTGTCTTTAAAAGTTTAAATAAAGGCCAAGAGTTATTCGGTAAATAATAACAGCTAGCTGTAAATTATGATTATGATTTTTTGTTTTGTTCTATTACAGGCAGCTACAGTAATGGAGTACGTATCAGGTCTCCCAGCGAATTTGATGTATATCTTGTTCTGAAATTTCCATATCCCATAGATGTCCTCCGAGATAAGTCTCGACCTGGTTTTGTACATTTGCACATGTCGAAGGCGAAAGAAGAAGCCTGGAGCTACTGCAACACCCCACTGTACAATGTTCTGAAAAATATTGTTGATTACAATAACGGTCTTCTGCGCAGAACAAATTTCAAAAACTGGATGTTCGATGTTATTGAAACGGCTGTGGAGCGATGCAGAGTTCGATTCCGAAATAATGGCTATGATGTTTCTAGCGAACGGCATGCGGTGGCCTACAATGTGTATGTACGGGATCTGAACAACCCCGACATAAAAATATCAATTGATATGGTGCCAGCCATAGAATTTGGCCCCTGCAATTGGATACAAATTCGTAGTTATGGTGTGGTCAAACCATCGCATTTCTGCAATTTTATGGCCGTCGCCAAAAAGTCTTCGTATAAACCGAAAAACACCTTTGCCCACACATTTATGATGGTTAACTCCAGGTCCGAACGCGATATTCTATTGAATAGGCAACACTTAAAGCCGGCATTACGTTTATTGAAATCGTTGCGGGATAAATACGAAATGAATCGCCTGAAGAGCTTTTTCATAACAAATGTATTTTTATGGCAAGTGCAGATACAGCCTTTGGATTTCTGGAAAAAGCCACTGGGAGATGTGTTCTTATATGTAAGTGGACTCAAGGATCAGATTTTGAACCGCACATTACTTTAAACACATTAAAAACGCACACTCACATTTTCCATTTGTTTCTGAAGATTTCCTAAATTAATGCATAAAACAGACCGGGTTTTTTTGCATTCTCCAAATTCGCGCTAAAATATTTGACACAAAATTATAACAAAAAACCAGTAAAAAAGTCTTAAAGTCGGGCCGGGCCGGGCCGACTTTATGATACCCTACACCACTTTGCAAATTTAGTAGGGCTCCGCATAACAATTAAAAGTTTTTAAAAGGAGAATTCAATCGGCTGTGGGTAACAAATATAACAAATCGGATGAACAGTATATATGGGAGCTATAGCTATATCTGAACCGATCTTCATCAAATTTGACATTATAGCCCATTAGGGCAAATATTAGATGTTTGGTGCGCACAATCAAATTCTGAACCGATCTCGATAAAATTTGGCAAATATATTTCTGAGCTGTATTTGATATATTTCCCTGAATATCATTACGGAGTGCATATTACGACTGTTGGTAACAAATACAACAAATCGGATGAACAGTACATATGGAAGCTATAGCTATATCTGAACCGATCTTCACCAAATTTGACATACTAGCTTCTAGACTCAATTCGGTCGTAAGTGCCAAATTTCATCCCATTAGGGCAAATATTAGATGTTTGGTGCGCACAATCAAAGGTAAATCGGACGAAATTATATATGGGAGCTATATCCAAATCTGAACCGATCTCGATAAAATTTAGCAAAGGTATTTCTGAGCTGTATTTTATATATTTCCCTGAATATCTTTGTTACAGAGTGCATGCTACGGCTGCGGAGTACAAAAATAACAAATTGGATGAACAATATATATATGGGAGCTATAGCTATATCTGAACCGATTGCGATCAAATTTGGCATACTTATTTTCAGGTCAAATCTCATCGTACGTGAAAAATTCCATACTATTCGGACTGATATTACACGTTTGGTGGACAATAAAAGCCAGATCGGACGAAGATATATATGGGAGCTATATCTAAATTTTGTCCGATTGTTTTCAATTTCAATAGGGTTCGTCCTTGGGCCAAACAAATGATTTGTGCAAAATTTCATCTGGATTGGGGCAATAAATGCGAACTGTACTTTGTTTACAAAAATACATGGACAAACGGACGGACGGACGGACGGACATGCATAAATCGACTCAGAATGTGATTCTATGCAGATCATCAAAAGGAACTATGGGGTCTATCTCGTTTCCTTTTGCCTGTTACAAACAAATGTACAAAGACATAATACCCCGACCCCCTTGTGGTGTAGGGTATAACAAGTTAAAATGTATCGATCGATTTTGGCCGACAGATGTAGACCCTCAGCCAATGTTCGATTGTTTGAATATATTTTGACTTCTGTTATGATTATTCAAATTGTTGACCCTCTGAATACTACTGATCCTACTGATGAAAATATTGAGATGTGTCAAGTCTGAATGGAATCGGATGTTAATTTCGTGTTTTATGAGCTTCATGAATATTCAACATTTTTACCCTTTGTGGGGGAGGTAACAGAAGTAGTCTACCGATATATTCCAACTTCACAGCAGATCTTGTGTTAGTAGAAATAATGGGGTGTGTGAAATATAAAGAGAACCGGATGGTTATTTCGGATATTATTAACGTTTTGGTTATTCAAAACATTGACCCTTTGTGGGGAAGGTATCGGAAGGAATGGTCCAATCTCTACCATCTGTATAAGAGATCTTGAGTTGATGGAAGTAGTATTGAGATGTGCCAAGTCTCGGATGTTAATTTCGTGTTTTATGAGCTTCATGAATATTCAAATTTTTGACCCTTTGTGGGGGAGGTACCAAAAGGAGTGGACCTATATATCCAATCTTCACAGCAGATCTTGTATTAGTAGAAATAATGGGATGTGTGAAATATGAAGAGAACCGAATGCTTATTTCGGATTTTATGATCGTTTTGATTATTCAAAACTTTGATCCTTTGTGAGGGAGGTATCAGAAGGAATAGTCCGATCTCTACCATCTTTATAACAGATGTTGAGTTGATGAAAATATTGAGATGTGTCAAGTCTGAATGCAATCGCTTTATATGAGCTTCATGAATTTTCAAAACTTTCACCCTTTGTGGGGGAGGTAACAGAAGGAGTGGTCCGATATATTCCATCTTCACACCAGTCCTAGGGTTAATAAAAATATTGTAATGTGTGAAATATGAAGACAATCGGACACTTACATGACATTTTATAAGAGTTATAATTATTCAAAATTTTGACCATGACGGGCATCGCTAGATGGACTCCAAATGTCCTGAAACTGGAATTTTCTGGTGTCAGAAAATACTTTACACAAATCAAATTTTTCATTTATTTTTATCCATTTTTTTTTAATTTTTATTCATTTTTTTTAATTTTTATTAATTTATTTCTATCCACGAACTGTGTTCGTCGGGCACATTGCTCTACCATTAATATTTCAAATTGATCGTAGTAATGAAAATTAATTTATTTCTCTTCTTTTTTTAGATGCTGTACAAACTTCGCGATGGCTTTGAAAAAGGAGAACTAAAATATTTTTGGTTCGAAGAGTTTAATCTTTTGGATATACTTAAGCCCAAGGAAATACGAGAGTATTCAAAGACATTAAATCAAATTTATGGAACAATGAGATCATACTTACATCAGCCGAATTTGTCGTACAATCGTGTAGCTTCATATTTCGATTTACCAGAATCGGAGTATGATTCGGAATCGGAATATGATTCTGAACCAGTATATTATGATTCAGATGATTATTATGACTACGATGAAGAGCTTTCAAGCGGTTCAGATTATGATGAGGATGATTTTGACTTCGGTACATATTATTAGTAAAAATCATATGTTTTCTAAAGTAAATGTAGATCATTTACTTTTCAAATTTAAATAAAATTAATACACTTTTTTTTATTAAAATGAAATGTATTTGTGTTTGCATTAAGATGCAGGAAAATCGGCTGGCTTCTTCGTAAAAGAACAAAGGAGCGTGGTGTGAACAAGTATAAATTATGGCCCGAAATTGAATATAGTCAACCTAAAACCCCTTTATTGTTTTTTTGAAGAAGCTGGTCAATGACATAAGTGTCATTAAAAGAAAGCCTTCTATAAAGAGGGTGAAATAAAAAAAACTGCAACCAACTTCAGAGTGCTGTCATTTCTAAGCCACTCGTCAGACAGCTATTCAAATTATTCCAGTGACAGCTCATTATATTGTTTACAAGCGTACAAAAGCATTGTGGTGAGAATTTTCCAGAAAAAAAGTTATTCGTGATGGAATTCAAGCGTGATAGTGTGATTTCTTTATATTTGGCTGGAACACCACAAGTGGCTATCGTTAGAGCACTCCAGCATTTAAATTTGACTAAATCTTTTGTGTTTCGTACCATCGCTCGTTACCGTGGCTCGTAGCGTAACTCGACGTCACAGAAGTGGACGGAAGAAAACAGCAACATCAGCAGAAATGGCTCGAAAAGTACAGGAGCGACTTGATCGAAACCTGAATCGCAGTGACCGAAAAATGGCTCGTGAGCCATTCAGCAAATATTGAAAAATGAGCTCGGGGTAAAACCATTGAAATTCCAAAAAGTGCAAGAGCTTATACCGCATCAGACGGAAAATAGACTCAAACGAGCTAAAGAGTTGCTTCGCTTGGCTTGGAAGTGGTGAACTGCCGAATTTGGTTTTCTCCGATGAGAAAACATTTATTGCCAAGCAGTTTGTTCGTTGTCCAGCAAACAAAATGATCGTGTTTACTTGCCAAAGAGGTCAGCTGAAAATGTGCACTTTCGGTTGGCCACCAGAACTCAAGCGTCGGCCATGGTGATGGTGTGGGCCGCCATAACAGCCGATGATCGCTCTCCGCTCGTATTAATCGACCGTGGCATTAGAATAAATGTCGAATATTATAACGAAAATATTCTGGAGGTTGTATCAAAGCCTAAAGCACGCAAAACACTTTGGCCGCAGACCTTGTACATTCCGGAACGGGACTCAGCACCATCGCACCCAGCACGCGCCATCCAAGAATGGTTACAAAATGAGATTCCTCGCTTCATTTACAGCGCTCAATGGCTACAAAAATCTCCGGATACCAATCCGTTGGACTATTGTGTCTGGAGTATTTTGGAAAGCAAGATTGACACTAAAAAATGCCAAAGTGTCGATCACCTCAAGCAAACGCCTCGCCGGGAATAGGCTAAAATACCGTAGAGCAACATTGGGGCAGCGTGTGACGGTTTAATTGGCAGTTAGAAGGCCTTAATTCGTGCCAAAGCTGACCAATTCGAACAAATCTAAACTTATTCTAAAATTTGATGCTATTTCTGACATTTTTTGCTTTCATTTCATAAAATTTAAAAAAAAAATGAAAAAATTATGGCATTTGACTTTTTGCAGTTTTTTTCATCTCACCCTGTATACCAACTCTAGCCATATGGCTGAGGGTGTAATGAGTAAAAATAGAAAATAAATGAAAACAACTTGTTGCAGGGATGTATTTCTGTAGTTTAACAAAGCTGTTCTACCTCCTTATTGTTCTATGCATTAAATCACTTATTTTTTCAACACAAAAATGTCCTGTTCAAGAACTTCAAGAATATAAAACTTTTTACTTCGATAACCGATATTGGAAAATTAAAAAGGTAAAGTCAATTAAAATAGGCATTCCCATCTCAGCATTTTTTTTTGGTCAAATTTCACTGCATAAAAACCAGGTTCCCATCTCTGGGAATGAGACGTTGTCAAATGAATAATTTTGGGAAAATGGTACCTTGTTAATTCCATGTGTATGCTTGAACTTTTTATAGGGTTAACCGACTTTAAGAGGATTTACTTGAAGTATAAATAATAGCATGGTAGAAAAATACAGGTAGATGCATCAACGCATGGGAACATTGATATGTCAAAAATGTTTTAATGTTTTTTCAAATATAAGTAGATTTTTGTCCCAGCAGCAGTGTAGATGCGTCTACCTATATTCTTCTACCATGGATAATAGATATGACAATTTTAAATCCAAATCCAGTGTATTAGTGTGTCTTCCAATCATTGGTTTTGAAAATATTTTGTTTTCATTCTTCAAAACAGAGGTCGGGCACTTAAAAAAATGTAATCAGCTGTTAGCTCTACCTTACCTTTTTATTGTACCATGGATTCTTGCAAATTGTCTAAATGCAATTCGAACAGTTTACTGGCCACTCGATTTGTTTGTTTACATTTGATGAATTGATTTGCAACATGTGATCCCGGTTTGCAATACTCTCTCAATTTAACTCTCTCTCCTTCATTTGAATATCAGCAGGCGGTGGAAGAGTGATAGAAGGTAACGCGTGACAGTAAACTATCAAATCATTCTAATTGGAAGGAAGAATTGCAAATTTCGGCACAACAGAAGCTGAGGAAATCTCCAACGGATTGTAAGGTAAGTTATTTTCAAGTGGTTTAAAACAAATTTCATGCGTTTTTTGTTTGTTTTTTCGAGTCCCAACCATTTTGGTGTTGCTGTAGTCCCAAACAGAGTGAGGGGGAGGTAAACTCTTTTGTTAGTTTGAAGTCTTATGTTCCCTATCCGATTCTGTCCAAAGGCCTTAGAAAGACCACTTACGGAATATGAAGTTCCAAAAAATACATCTCAAGCGGACCCCGTTGATCGATTTTTCCATAATTGTGGGTTCCCGGTCATATCTTCAACTTATGGCATGGTTTACATTTGGAAAAAACATCAACATGGATAGGAAGTTTTGATTAAAGCCATTTGAGAGCCTTCTTTTGAAGCTCATTTGATGACATCTACAGGGTGAGATGTAAAAACTGCAACCAACTTCAGACTGCTGTCATTTCTAAGCCACTCCTCCGACAGCTGTTAAAATTATTCCAGTGATAGCTCATTATATTGTTTACAAGGGTACAGAAGGATTGTGGTGAGAATTTTCCAGAAAAAATGTTACTCGTAATGGAATTCAAGCGTGATAGTGTGATTTCCTTTTATTTGGCTGGAAAAAAACCCGACGTCAAAAAAGTGGACGGAAGAAAACAGCAACATCAGCAGAAATGGTTCAAAAAGTAAAGAAGCGCTTTGATCGAAACCCGCGTCGGCCGAAAAAAAAATGGCTCGTGAGCTGAACGTATTGCAATATTCCATTCGGCAAATATTGAAAAATGAATGGGTAAATCCATTGAAATTCCAAAAAGAGCAAAAACTTACACCACTACAGAAAAACACCGCAATAGACTCAAAAGAGCTAAAGAGTTGCTTCGCTTCGCTGAAAGTGGTGAACAGCCGAATTTGGTTTTCTCCGATGAGAAAACATTCGTTGTCCAGCAGTTTGTAAACAGACAAAATGATCCTGCTTACTTGCCCAAGAGGTCAGCTGAAAAAAGCTTGGACTTTCGGTCGGCCACAAGAACTCAAGCGCCGGCCATGGTGATTGTGTGGGCCGTCATAACCGCCGATGGTCGCTCTCCGACCGTGACATTAGAATAAATGCCGAATATTATTGCGAAAATATTCTGGAGGGTGTATAAAAGCCTTGGATACGCAAACATTTTGGTCGCAGACCTTGGACATTCCAACAGGACGCGCCTCCCAAGAATGATTACGAAATGAGATTTCTCGCTTTATTTCCAGTCACAATGGCCACCCAAAACCTCTGGATACCACCAATCCCTTGGACTATTGTGTCTGGAGTATTTTGGAAAGCAAGGTTGGCACTAAAAAATACCAAAGTGTCGATCACCTCAAGCAAGCGCTTCGCCGGGAATGGGCCAAAATACCACCGAGCACCGTTCGGGCAGCGTGTGACGGTTTCGTTGACCGGCCGTTTGAAGGCAATAATTCGTGCCAAAGGTGACCTATTCCAAAAAATCTAAACTTGTTCTAAAATTTGATGCTATTTCGTTTGTACTTTAACTCCAACAGCACCTACACATTTTAGGGATTCTTAGGATAACCGGGCATAAAAAGTTCGGTCTGATCGTTTTTTATTTGTCTCTCCAAAATTTGCAAAAATTTTGACAATAAAAAATTAACCCTTAAAAATTTGTCAAGTTTTGTAAAAACCTCCACTGAAAATCTTCACCTGTTTTCTTTCCTTTCTTTTCAGCATTTCCTTGACAGCATGTCTACCTTTGAACAACATTTACTCGACATTGATGACGCGATTGGACCTGAGGTCGAAGAAAGAAATACCCATTTGAAGTTAAAGCAAAAGGTGACCGAATGGCTAATCGAGGAAATGCGTAGGGCAGACACCGTCTTCGATAAACTCTGTGTGGGTCTATCTCCGTATGGCATGTATCCGTGTTATTTCATATTTAAATAATTTCTAAGTTTTTTTACCTCTCCCTAGCCGGCAATAATGATTGGAATGGTGATTTTAAATCAAATGAATTTGAGGTCATTTGTGTATTGGAATTTCCCTACGCCATGCAAATTGGTTTGGACAACGATCGTCGCGGATTTGTACATCTCGATATGTACGATGTACTCAACAAATTGGCAAATGACAGCAAATCGGATGACGTCTTTATATTGCTCAGCAATTTGGTTAGTCTGGAGACAGCCTATCTGCAGCGACAGGCGTTACAAAACTGGATATCTCAGGTCATTAATAAGGCCCTGGATTCAATGCACAATTATCCCTACAAAGTGGCATACAATCGATGCGAATACGCCCACATATTGTCGGTTTTCGAACGCACCACCACCGTGCGAATGATTGCAATTGATTTCCGACCCGTCATTGCATTCGGCAAAGTTAACTGGATGAAAACGTATGCCAAGACGATAAAGAATAAATACTACTACAGTTGGTATGCCCTGCCAATCGAATCATCACTTCCCGCGGACAATCATACACATGAATATACGTTCCTCATGATAAATCCAATGGCCGAGAACGAATTGCTGTGGTCGAACGAAAGTCTGAAAGTTGTCTTTCGTCTGTTGTGTTCATTACGGGATAACTATGGATTACATGAACTGCGAGATTATATGATAACGAATACATTGTTCTGGCTGGTGAAAAAGTCAAGTGGACTTTTGAATGGCCCCACACGAGATATATTCATTGATGTAAGTTTTGATTAAAGAAGGTAATTATATTCAACACCACAAGGTGGTCAGGGTATTAGGTCTTTGTGCATTTGTTTGTAACAGGCAAAAGGAAACGAGATAGACTCATAGCTCCCCTTGATGATCTGCATAGAATCACATTCTGAGACGATTTATGAATGTCCGTCCGTCCGTCCGTCTGTCCATGTGTTTTTGCAAACAAAGTGCAAATCACATTTATTGCCTGATTCAGATGTAATTTTGCAGAAGTCATTTGTTTGACCCTACGACGAATTGGAGATAATTGGTCAAAATTTAGATATAGCTCCCTTATACAGGATGAGATAAAAAACTGCAACAAAGTCAAACGCCATAGTTTTTACATTTTTTTTTTTAATTTTTTTGAATGCAAGCAAAAAATGTCGGAAATAGAATCAAATTTTAGAATTTGTTTAGATTTGTTCGAATTGGTCACCTTTGGCACGAATTATGGTCTTCAAACGGCCAATGAAACCGTCACACGTTGCCCGAATATTGCTTTGTGGTATTTTGGCCCATTCCCGGCGAAGCGCTTGCGGTGAGGTAATCGACACTTTGGTATTTTTTAGTGCCAACCTTGCTTTCCAAAATACTCCAGACACAATATTCCAACGGAATGGTATCCGGAGATTTTGATCGTCATTGAGTGCTGGAAATAAAGCGAGGAACCTCATTTTCTCTTTCTTGGGTGGTGCATGCTGAGTCCTGTTGGAATGTCTAACGTCTGCGGCCAGAATGTTTGCTTGCCCAAGGCTATAAAACACCCTCCAGAATATTTTCGCGACAATATTCGGCATTTCTTCTGATGCCACAGTCGATTAATACGAGCGGAGACCGACCATCGGCTGTTATGGCGGCCCACACCATTACCATATCGGGCGCTTGAGTTCTGGTGGCCAACCGAAGGTGCACATTTTCAGCTGACCTATTTGGCAAGTAAAAACGATCATTTTGTTTGTTTACAAACTGATGGAAAACGAATGTTTTCTCATAGGAGAACACCAAATTCGGCAGTTCAGCATTTTTGGCCAAGCGAAGCAACTTTTTAGCTCTTTTGAGTCTATTTTCTTTCTGTTGCGGTTAAAGTTCTTGCATTTTTTTGCAATTTCAATGGCTTTATCCCGAGCTCGTTTTTCAATATTTGCCGAACGTCCACTGCGACGCGGGTTTCGATCAAGTCGCTTCTGTACTTTTCGAACCATTTCTACTGATGTTGCTGTTTTCTGTTCTTCCGTCCACTTCCTACCAGTATCACGGTAACGAGCGATGGTACGAGACACAAAAGATTTATTCGTACTTAAATGCTGGAGTGTGCTAACGATGGCCACTTGCGGTTTCCCAGCCAAATATAAAGAAATCACACTATCACGCTTGAATTCCATCACGAATAAATTTTTTTCCGGAAAATGCTTCTGTTCGCTAGTAAACAATATAATGAGCTGTCACTGGAATAATTTTAACAGCTGTCGGACGAGTGGCTTAGAATTGACAGCAGTTTGAAGTTGGTTGCTGTTTTTTCATCTCACCCTGTACATCTGTCAGCAATGCCGACGGGTACTGTTTTACTAGTTTGTCCCGATTTTCAATGAAGTCAGATGTAATTTCAAATGTTGGGTATTTCCTCCCACAAAAGATTCAATACACATGTGATCTTCATGCTTTGGAACCTCAAAATTTTAAGTATTTGCGGAATAATTGATTTGGTCATATGTTAATGTTTTGCATGGGTATTGAAAAAAAAAACGCTTGGCTCAGGCGAAATTAAGGTCGTTCTTACTTATTATAATTGCCTATATGTGAAAGAGATCCCGTGTACCTGAAAGCCTTTTTGTGGTCTACTTTTCAATGCTCCATCGATTCCAAAAGGTTTTTTGAAGTTAAAAGTCTTATAGTTTTAATTTTTTTCCTATGCTCTGATGAGTTCTAAGGTTCTTCTGTGTCTACAAGTCTATTTAAATCTCCTGCATCTATGATGAAGTCCTTTGAGGAAGATTTGTTCTGTGACAGGTCTTGTCTATAGAATACCCATTAAATATTAAATACTGGGGAATTATGTATTCCTTATTCCTACTAAGCAATTATTATTCCTACCAGGTCAATTGTAAAAGGCATAAAAGAGATTTTTTGAAAAAATGGGGGTTCTTAATTTTCCCCAACCTCTAATTTTCCCTTAAAGTGACAGTCGCAAAGGCAAATCAGGTGATAATATTCCATACCTTAATATTATTAATTAATTTAATTTTAATTTTAGCCCCTTGGGGCTAGGTAACTGTGTTAATTGAATATAAATAAATAAATATTAATTTTCTTCACAAATTTTCCTCTTTTTTTTTACTTTCAGGCATTGCTTAGACTGAACAAGTTTTTCGATGATGCCAATATGCCATCGTTTTGGGTGGTGGAATGCAATTTATTGGACGTTTTCACCAAAGTTGATATACAATTGTACAAAAAGAAATTCCAACGTATTTATACACAATTTGTCAGTTATCGCAAGACAAAGCAATTGCCACTTGACCGAGTCTTGGAACATTTCTTTGTAAAGTAAGGAGATGATGGTCCCAATAATTTGTCGGGAACAAATTCATCAGCCCGATGAGAAGTGTTTAATTGTATTATTTTGAATTGATTTCAATTGGCGAATGTTTTATGAATTAGTTGTTATTTTACATCGCCTTGAATCGAATCGATTTTTTTTAATTTTTCGTTATTATTTTTTTTATTACATTTTCAATGTAAAATTTTGAATACAATTATTGTTGTTATTATGAATTAATTTTTTTTTTTTGGATAATTGTATTATTTTGAATTGACTTTAAATGCTGATTTTTTTATGAATTACTTGTTATTTCACATCACCTTGAATCGAATCGATTTTTTTTTAATTTTTTAGTTTTTTTCGTTATTATTTTTTTTATTACATTTTCAATGTAAAATTTTGAATACATTTATTGTTGTTATTATGAATTAATATATATATTTTTTTTTTTTGGATAATTGCATTATTTTGAATTGACTTCATATACTGAATGTTTTATGAATTGCTTGTTATTTAAATCAACTTGAATCGAATCGATTTTTTTTTAATTTTTGAGTTTTTTTTCGTTATTATTTTTTTTATTATTGTTGTTGTTATTGTTGTTATTATGAATTTTAATATTTTTGTTTTTTTTTTTTTCTTTAGATTTTAAAGATTTATTTTCGTTCAGCCATCGTTAAGGGCTTCCCTCCCTTCGTATCAGAGAATCCCCCTCGCAGAGATGGATTTATTTCTGCTGTAATGTATCAACAATTAAAATGCCAGCCGCCAGCCATTGACCTAATGTCGTTAGTCCACCTAACTTTTTGAACAGCAAATTCCTTGGAATGTTTGGCCTATATCCTAGGTGTCTTACAGCAGCAACTCCATTTCAAGGCTATAAAAATTAAGCAGTAAATAATCTCTACAACACACGCTTGGCACAAGAACTCTCCACCTAAACGAGACCTCTAACTTCTCCAGCCAAGTAAGTCATCAAAAATACTTCTTCGCAGCATATCAACTGGAGATCTCCCTGCAAATTTTGTTTGATATGTCAATTGTGGTTAACCACAATGCAAATAACAAATAGAGTTGATTCAATACCCCACTTCAAACTCCCCTACCCCCCAGCGATAAAGCCTTCACATTATGGGCTATGCTGCTGATGATGATCATCTTCATTGGCTTATAGCCACATTTGTCTACCTTTTGTCATTTTGAAACAGGAAACAAATTGTTTAAATGCAACAACAAAAACCAAAGCAATTCAAATTCAATCCAGCTTTGTCATCGTCACCAAAGCCCTGTTTACACATCATGCGAGACTCATATTCGTTTTATGTCATTCATACATACACACAACGCGAACCAAAGAAAATTTGCCTATCGGTGTGCCCTGCCTTTTCAGACACATCTTATATCATTCATTCGAGAAAAAAAAAAAACAACAAGAACATAAAACGCGTACCACAAACAGCCAGAGGAAGAGGCTTTGAAACCCATACGTAATCGATATTTGCAACAACAACAGTAACATCGACTCCATCGAATAGATGGGTGTTGTGTTTTAATTTGAAAAACACTCACACGCACGCCGATACTTGATTTCTTTTTCTTTTCGACATCAGATGGAATCGCCAAGCTTGAACATTTTAGTCCAAACATATCATTGTAGCCGCATCAGGCCACAACAATGCGTTAATGTTAAATGGCGAACAGCCGAACGAAGAAGACAGTGGTCTCTAGGTCTTCAATCTGTATAAAATACCTTCAGAGGGTCTTCTTTGCGAAGAAGATTACCAGAATGTCTTCTTTCTACAAAGTAGAAGCATAGAAGACCCCTAAGTCTTTTCTCTGCATCAGACCATAACAATGTGTTAATGTTAAATGCCGAACAGCTGACCAAAGAAGACAGTGGTCTCTAGGTCTTCTCTCTGTATGGAAGACCTTCAGAGGGTCTTCTTTGCGAAGAAGATTACCAGAAGGTCTTCTTTCTACAAAGAAGAAGAAGCATAGAAGACTCCCAGGTCTTCTCTCAGCATCAGGCCACAATAATGCGTTAATGTTAAATGCCGAACAACCGACTGAAGGAGACAGTGGTTTCTAGGTCTTCTCCCTGTGTAGAAGACCTTCAGAGGGTCTTCTTTGCGAAGAAGATTACCAGAGGGTCTTCTTTCTACAAATAAGAAGAAGAAGCATAGAAGACCCCTAGGTCTTCTCTCTGCATCAGACCACAACAATGCGTCAATGTTAAATGGCGAACAGCCGAACGAAGAAGACAGTGGTCTCTAGGCCTTCTCTCTGTTGAGAAGACCTTCATAAGGTCTTCTTTGCGACGAAGATTTCCAGAAGGTCTTCTTTCTGTTAAGAAGACATCTAGGTCTTCTCTATGTAAAGAAGATCTCGAGGAGAAAACCTCTAGGTTTTCTTTCTGTATATAAGACTCCTGGCTCCTCCTTTTATAAAGAAGACTTCCAGGTCTTCTCTCTGTATATAAAACCTACAGATCTTCTTTCTGTCAAGAAGTCCTTTAGGTCTTCTCTCTGTACAGAAGACCTCCAAGTCTTTTCCCTGTATAGAAGACCTACAGGTATTCTCACTGTTGAGAAGACCTCCAGGCCTTCTCTCTGTTAAGAAGACCTCCAGGTCTTCTCTCTTTAAAGAAGACCTCTAGGTCTTCTCTCTTTAAAGAAGACCTCTAGGTCTTCACTCTGTTGAGAAAACTTCCAGGTCTTCTCTCTGTTAAGAAGACCTCTAGACTTTCTCTCTGTAAAGAGGACTTTAAGGTCCTCCCTTTATAAAGAAGACCTCTAGATCTTCTCTCTGCAGAAGACCTTCTCATCTGTTCTCTCTGTTAAGAAGACTTCTAGGTTTTCTCTCTGCAAAGAAGAATTCTAGGTTTTCTCTCTGTATAGAAGACCTCGAGGTAGTCCTCTCCAAAAAGACCTCCAGGTCTTCTCTCTGTTAAGAAGACCTGTAGGTCTTCTCTCTGTTTATAAGACATATAGGTATTTTCTCTATAAATAAGACCTTTAGGAACCACTAGGTCTTTTTTCTGTAAAGAAGACCTCCAGGTCTTATCTCTGTTAAGAAGAACTGTAGTCCCTCTCTGTCTGTTAAGAAGACCTCTAGGTCCTCTCTCTCTCTGTATAGAAAACTTCTAAGTCTTCTCTCTATATATAGAAGGCCTCTAGGCCGTCTCTCTTTAAAGAAGACCCCTAGGTCTAATCTCTGTGAAATAGATCACTAGGCCTCCTCTCGGTATAGAAGACCTCTAAATTTTCCCTCTGTAGAAGATACCTTTAGGTACTTTTTCTGTTAATATCTGTAAAGAAGATATGTAGGAGATACTTTCTCTTTAAAAGAGACCTCTTGGAGGTAGAGGGTACCTCAAGGAATTATTCGATCTATAGAAGACCTCTAGACATTGCTCCTTTTCTTTTTATAGCCCCTCTGGAAGCTCTCTCCCATCGTCTCATCATTTGCATTGCCGCTTCAAAAAAAACCAAACCACTGTATGACGATGACATCTATTGCAAGGACAATAATCGCATTAAATACGAAAGCAATGCAAAACGGCGAATCGAATCGAAAGAAGAATAATGAGCAGTATAAAATGGTTGGTGTGTTCTGCGCCAGCAACAGCAACAACAAGGCAACATCACAATTCCCAGGTACAATGGCTACTAATAATGGTCAACCCGACAATAATGACTACGATGATGATAGCTACCCGAACAGGCTGCGTTCACAAAGCTATACAATGTCGTCGTACTTCTGGTGGCTTGAAACAAAAACTCGCCTTCATTTGGAAAACGCCACAACATTCAATGACCAAAACGAAGCGGACAAGTAGCCACATATCCGTGCGTCCGTCTGTTGCAACAACTTGTTCCACTGAATGGCACAAAGCTTGTTCAGTTCTTTCTCCCCCTTCGTTCATGTTCTTAATGCTCAAATGGCCCAATGTGGTCATTATCAAGTTCCGCTCTTGAAGTGCGTGTGTCCAGGCTTAAGGAGTAATTAAAGTGCAACAAGAGACACACACACATACACACAGAGAAATGCAAACAGACAACTGTCACACAATGTTGGGGAACATGGGAGGGGGGAAGGTGGTGGAGTGACCATGCACAGGAATCTGAATTAAAATAATGTGTAAATTGATAGCAGGCTTGGCGGTCGTCTACCAAAGCAATTTTCTGGCAAAGGGATTTCCTGGGAGGGCCATCACATTTTAAACTGATTTGAGCAAAAACAAGCTGCTTACTTAGCAGTCACTGGCACAATGAAAACAAAACTTATTTTTTTTGCGAAAAGAACAACCCACCTCCCCCCTGCCTGCCCGCCCGGATTGTACTGCTGTTTTGTTGCTTTGACAGTCAAGGCAGTTGTTGGCCAATATTTGAATGCAGCCTTTGGAATTACTAAACGGAAATTGTCATCACTTCGTAGTCATGAACTTTGGTTGGACATTAAACTTCTAATGCCCCTGTAGAACAACAATAACAACAACAGCACATTGTTGCCTAAGCCCTGCTGTCTGTGGGGTTTAGCCATTATTACGACAGCCCCCTTTCCCCTGGCCTTTCTGTAGAAAGTTAGATTGATGACTAATTACCTCTTCTGCAGAGGGCGCTACAGATGCTGGAAGCTCTTCTAGAGACTTTTATAGATTAAAGTCCATCAGACGTCTTGTTTTTTATAGCAGACTTTTAAAGGTACTCTATAAATCATTCTAGTTATCCTCTTTGGCCAGAAGACCTCATAGAGGGCTAGTAGAGGTAGAAGACTTACAGGTATTGTGTGTCTGGGAAACCTTTTTAATGACTTTTGCGGATGGAGATTGTTTAGAGGTATTTTATGGACAGTTGGCCTTTTATAGTTTTTTATACCCTCCACCATTGTATGGAGGGTGTATTAGCTTTGTCATTCCATTTATAACTTCTCGAAATATGCATGATAGACCCTACAACGTATATATACTCTGAATCAGCGTAAAATTCTAAGACGATTTAGCGATGTAGGTCTGTGTGTCTGTCCGTCTAATGTAATCTTTCAAACGAATTGAGATATAATTCTAAAATTTTGCATACCTGCACGTTTTCGTATAGTCCCCATATAACGGTTCCTTCCGATGTTCGGTTTTTTGATGATTTTAGCGACGCCATTCACCCGAATTGTTCCAAATTTCGTATTCAAAGTTTGTAACAGGTAGTACAGCCTATGCCTAAAAATTTCGTATGCAAATCACGGTCTTCGTAAGCCCTCATATAACATTACCTCCCGATATTCGGTATTTTGATGATTTAAGCGACATTATTCGCCGGAATTGTTTCAAATTTCATATTCGAAGTTTGAAA